ACTTTCCTTAGAACTTGGGGGATTTTTGTTTCTAGGGGTGTTAAGATAGAAAAGGAAAGTGGGGTGAAATGCTGATTTCTAAGGGAACATGCCTGGGATCAAAATCCCAGGTTATTCCACTCAGTCCACAGTGCAAGCCTGCCCTCAAATTTAAGAGATCGGCAACTGCTCTAAGAGCACTTAACTGGTCGTTGCATTACCGGGTTTTTGCATTAGAAAGGTGTATAGATAGGGGGTCTTGTCTACACCCATGCGGGCAGTCGGGGTCTGTTAAGAGGGCTAAGAGCCTTTGGCTAACATCAGGGAGTAGCCCTGATCAGAAAGCTTCAATTGCTCCTTTGTCTTTAATGGTCCCACGTGAAGACTCAGACCGAAAATAAAAGGAGGAAAAAGAAGAGAGACTGCCAATCCTCAAGGGTAGATGGCTTAAAGGCAAAGCTGCCCGTTACCCTCCTGATGGGAGGGGTACTCAAAAACTCTGCGCGTTCCAGGAGCCCCACATTGGGCGCCAGCTGCAGGGGCCTCTCCCTCTCTTCGCGGGTCATTGGCTACCGGTCCACGAGGGCAGGGGGAGCAGAAGCGACGAACGAGAGAAATTATAGTGTGGAGGCAGTAGCCAAAGCCTCAGCTGATAGGTGCTCATAGTATGCTTTATTTACTTGTGGTAGTGGGCTCCTATTGTCCGACTATCAGGCAATGCCTGATTATCATATAGAAAAAACCTGGGGGTAGTTTTTACTCCAGGTAACTATGCCAAAGGTCATGTTCCAAATAAGGTCAGGCATCCATGCTTAGTGGCACTTTCCAGGTAAGCCAGGAAGAGAGCAGGAGGCCCCCTGCTGAAAAGGGAAGTCCTTCCATTTGGCGCCGAGCCCCTTAGGGCTGTCCAGACATGGAGAACTGCAACCCTAACAGCAGGGTTTCCCAACAGACATGATGTCATCTGCACTCATGTACTATGCAATCAAGTTGCAAAAAATAATTGAAATAAAAAAATCTGTTTAATCTTATGATTTTTCATTGAGCTACATTCCTTACTATCTTGTGGCACACACAGCCTGCAGGCTACAGGTTGGGCATGCCTGGAAGGGAAGTAGGTAGTTTACTTGGAGATAAATGACCTGCCTGCCTAAAAAAAAAAGTTTAAAGCTGGGCGTGGTGGCACACGCCTGTAATCCCAGCATTCAAGGAGGCAGAGGCAGGTGGATCTCTGTGAGTTCAAGGCCAGCCTGGTCTGCATAGTGAGTTCCAGGCCAGATGGGGCTACAGGGAGACCCTGTCTCAAAAAGACCAAAAAATAAATTTAAATAAATAAATAAATAAATAAATAAATGGCCTGCCTGTATCAGGCATTTTCTATGAAAGGCTCTGAGTTAATAATTTCTTCTTGAGGAATAGGATGAATTAGAGCTCCCATTCACACAAGCATTTCAATGGCACAAAATATTTTATGCTCTGTGTGTGTGTGTGTGTGTGTGTGTGTGTATTATGTGTATGAGTGCTTTGCCTGCATGTATGTAAGTGCATCCATGTCATGCAATGCCCTCAGAGGTCAAAAGAGAGCATCTGATCCCCTGGAACTGGAGTTACAGCCCCTACAGTATATTTTGAATAGTTAGCTTTGAGAGTACTATTTTACTTTAGTTTTGGAAATTTGAAAGCCCCCAAAAGACTCTCTCAAATGATTACAGCAATAACTACAAATTGTATCTGAAATGCTGAAAACAGTGAAAATCCCCAGAACTTCTGTGAATAAAAGCCTTCATTTGCTTTACTTAGCTAATGATGACCCACCGAAGTAGAATCCCCTTTTGCTTGACTCTTGGGTATTTAATTACCAGGTGCTTAAATGCATTTAGATGAGAATTATTTTTAGGACTAGAAATAAAGACAGTTTATTAAGAAAGGTATGCCCTATGGTCCCACTTCTCTTGAATTTCTTCTTTCCCTGTATCCCCAAAGTGCAGACAAAATCCCAGCATAGAACTGGGAAATGAACAGCAGACCCCAATCTTAATTGAAGAAACATTGGCAACTGAATACTCCTGGATGAGGAAGAGCTGATCTTAGGAAGGGACTCTAGATAGGCTGCCTAGACCTCAGTAGATGAACTTGCACTAAGAAACATCTCGGAACACTAACTTGACACGATAGGCCTTAAGACAAATTACAGAATGTATAAATTCCATTGGGGGGAGCTATGGGAAGATGCCAGTGGGAAAGGGGGTATAAAAATGATTAAGATTGATGGAGATGAGATGTTCTGTATGAAATACACAAAAATTCAATTTAAATTTAATGAAAGGAAGAAAGAAAAAGACACACCCAAGAATGAGAGTGGGCTAGAGAACTGGGGAACAGCAAGTGCTTAGAAGTGCTGGATCATGAGGCTCATGACCTTTCAAGTCATTTACATAGTGTCCTCTTTCTCTCACATCTGTATATCTTGGGCTTTTCTCGGATATGCTGTTTGTATATGTGGCCCAGGTGGGAGTTTCTAGTATTTTTTTGTCAACTGGTTTCCTTCTTAATCTTTTTTTTATTTTTTGACAGTTTCATATATACAGTGTATTAATTATATCCCCCCATTACCTCTGTTATCCCCTTTCTTTCCCTCTGAACCCCTTCTTCCTAACTAGTCCTCCAGTGGCTACACAATTAAAGAAAATGACACTCCCTCTTCCAGGGACATTTAACAGACAGTAGCTCTAAGAAAGGGTGTGGCCCACATGAGCACCTCCTCTATCCATGATGAAAAGATGAAGGGTCCAATCTTGTGCTGGTGTCCATAGCTGCTGTGTGTTCAGGACTACAATGGCCATGTCATATCTGGATGGAGTGTTTCATGACATTCCTCCAGGGGTAGTGATACAAATTTCCAGTTTAGGGCTGAACTTTGAACAGTCACTACTTCTTCACCCTTTGGTGAGACAGGATTTTCTGCAGAAAGGACAGTTTCTTCCCCAGGCAAGAAATTTTATAAATGCTGTTGCATATTTATAGGCTGTTTTAAAATAAATTTGAATTTAAATACTGAATTGTATACATGCAAGGGGAATGTTACTGGGACTAAATGCTTAGCAACATCATTTTTGCTAAATTTCTCATTTATTGGGTGGGGGAAAAAGGTACTTTTTCTTAATTTGAATTTCCTTTATAAGGAAAGCAATATTAACTGCCAAATTTAATAACTAGTGCTTGGTAAGTTGTCATTATGACTTGTGGCAAGAAAAACAGATCTCAGGATCCAAGTGTTTGGAACAAAATGTAGTAATTTCATTATCCAAATAGAGAAAAAAAAATCTGGTCTGAAATAGGTGTTTAAATGTATCTGCCACAAAAATCTTTATAATTGCCATTGCTTTATGTTGGCAGGGTCTGTGTGACTGCTCTTCTGCTAAAATAGCTTAGTAAGTAAGCCTTGTCAGTTTGACTCATAAACTACCAAAACCTAGCTAACTTACACTGATATTGACTCCTTACCCAGCTGGAGGTGCCTCCAGCAGCTACATGGCATTTCTCTTTTCATACTAACGCAGAGTAATGTACAGTAGTTGGTAAACATTTTTAATCTTACAAAACATTACAGTTTTCTACTTGTTCTCTTGGAGGACTAATGATTTACCACAGTAGGATTTTTTTTTTTCAGCTTTTTGATAGCATTGTAAAAAAAAAAAAAATGCACATTTCACGGATAGCAAATACTGCAGGTAGAGAAAACCCTGCCAGACATCAGAGTTGCTCTGCTCACTATCACCTTTGCCCACAGCACAGGTGGAGGTGCTGTCAGCTGCGCTGCGTGCTTCCAGCCTGGATGCACACGAAGAGGCCAGCAGCATACAGCAGCAGAGTGAGCTGCAAGATGAGCTGGGTATAAATGAGCCACCAGATTGTAACAATCAAGAAGATGCTGTGCCTTTGATCAGCACTGCTATTGAGGTATGAATTCAATAGTATTTACCAAGTAGAAGCTCTGTGAACCTGCAGTCTTTTGGGGGGGACCAGTTGTGGCTAACACTTTCTAGTTAGTGTGTTCTGTTTGTTGTTAATTTTTTAGCTCTTCCTTTACATAAAGTAAAAGTAATTCTTCTTACCACATCTGTTCCTGTGACATGATTGTCATATTAAATGTCCCAAACAGCCAATCCCATTCCTTTCCATATGACCATTTTAGAGTGGATGTTAATGTAGCTCACTGCAGTGAAATAGTCTTACTGGAAACAAAGCCCTTTATCAAGAATAATTAACTCTTCCCTTTTCTTTTTGGAGAGGTGCTTTGTTTCTGATCGGACCATTTCACTGCAGCAAGCAACACAGTATTCTGAGCAGAAGATCGGGACTTGAGGCCATGTTGCGGAGGGCCGTGGCATTATCTGGACTCGAGTGTGAGGGTGGGTACTGTTACTAGCATCGTCTTTGCTGAGCACATGTAGCTGTTCATACAGTTCTACCCTGGTTACTACATTCCCCTCAAGCCAGAATCGCTTTTTATCTATTTCTTCTCTCGTATTTACAAACACAGAGAAGGAATATTCCACTCATTGCCAAAATCCAGGGGTCACAAACCCTAGCAGCTTAAACGATAAGCTCAGGAAAGAATTTCACGTTGAGGATGTCCAGGGGGTTCTTAGAGCTTTAGTGCACTTCTGGTTTCTGTTAGATGGCATCTGATGGGTTTAGAAATGTGTACTGTACTGGTGCTTTAGAGAAAAACCCTGACCATTTGTTAGAGACTCGACTGCTGTGACATACATGCATTGTAGAAGGGGTTTTTTGGTATTTGTTTGTGGGTAAAAGTAGCTGTTTGTAAAATTAGTTATTAGCAGCCAAGAATAGAAGTAATAGAAAAAAACTATATGATACCCAGTGGCCTCTAAGACAATTGACTAGAAGAATCCTCCTGATACTGTTTTGTAAATAAGCTAATTTGTGGTATTTGGACCATTTCAAATTTACTTCTAAACTTTAGTTTTTCTAAAACTCACTTTTGTGCATTTAATAACTATTCGGTAAGCTTGATTTAAAGCAAAGGACGTTCTTATGAGGCCTTAGGCATGTTTATAAACTTGTCCTAAAGAATGTATATATATTTATATCTCTTTGACAATCTGAATGGTAAGTACCCTAGTAAGATAGTTAAAACAAGGGAAACGTTCAGACAGGGCAGTTCTCTTAAGAAGATTTTTCTCCTGACAGAATATGAATGCCACTCCTCACTATGTCCACGGAGACGCGGATGTGAGCACTGGAGTCGCAGATATGAGCACCAGTGGTGCCTTCAGCCCTGATGAGGAGAGGAGACCTAAGGTGCAAGTAAGTAACCAGGCACATGATGTGTCTGAGCTCTTAATTCCTCCTCCAAAGCCTGCTTCTGTCTTCCTTTATAATGGATGTCTCAAAAATTAAAAACAGTGCATCACACATATGATAAGAAAATTCAGCTAGTGACAAAACTGACAGAGCACAGCCCTCCCCGATCACGTTACCTACCAAACTCTTCATGTTTTATGGGTTTGTAATACAGTCATGTGCCCTTTTTTTTTTTTTTTTTACCTTTTTTTCTATCTTTACAATCATTCCATACTACTTAGGTATTTCCTCATGCCTATGCTGCTAAAATATGATAAGAAGTAACTATAGGAGATTGAAATGCAAAAAATTGCCCAAAGCCAATATAAAGAATCATTGATATTAAGTTACATTGCAGTTTCAGGAGTTTTATTTCCTTTTTTGTTGTTTTTGGTTTTTAGTCAGGGTCTCACTAACCTCATACTTAGAAGGTAGCCAGGCTGGTCTTAAATCACAGCAGTCCTTTTAATAGGTATGCACCACCACACCTGGTCAGAGATTTTAGATATGGGAAAGTCATTGGATATGACTTGTGCTTTGCCTTTCTTTCCTTTTGTGAAAATGTACCTTGGCAACCTCTCCTGTGAGTACATAGGAACCTTTTGGCCTGACAGCTGCAGCCCATTATCCATAAGGTGCCTGTGTATCTCTTCATTAGACACCATCTCTAAAGTTGGGCCCTAGGAGCTTCCAGTAGCCTTCATTTCATGTTAAAGTGGTGGATGTATGTTCTCTGAATATGTTGTTTTCTTCTGGGATGATGTTAATAGTAATAGAGTCTTAGATCAGACAAGATAATGTGCATAATTTATGTTCTTATTTAAAATTGAATCATTATGCATAATGTAGTGTTTTAAAACATGCTTTTGTCATTAAAATATGTTAAAGTTAGTACATATAAGTCATCTAATTTTTTAATGAAGTTCATATTTTTATATGTCAGTTAAAAAGGAAAGTCAGTGAAATTTCTTTCTCTCCTTCGCTCATCCATTTTTACTTCCCCAGAAACAACCGATCTTTTCTTTTACCTCTCCCTCCAAAAGTACATTACACATATATCAGGAAGATTGTATAATACAATTTTCCTTCATACTATCCAAACAGAAATATACACTCTACCTTTTAAATTTTTCATCTAAGGAATGTAGCTTTAATTTTTTTTCTTTATTTGGAGATTTGGAACACATATGTCACTCAGGCTGGCCTTGGACTTGATCTTCCTGCCTCAGCCTCCCAAGTGCTGAGATTCCAAGCATGCACCACCATGCCCTGATAGGAAGGCAGCTTTTTTGTGTGTTTTAAAGCATGTTGGTAATCATGCACAGGAGAACCAGATTTACCATATTCCCATTTTTTTCTGGTCATGACTAAAGTGTAATAGTATCTGCTATGTGGAGAGGATCGCCTGACTCCTTTCCAATGTGTCTTCAATTTGGTGGTTATTTCTGGCCTTTAAGCTGTTCACTATTCTAAGATCTTATTCGTTGTGTTGTTCTTTTAAACTTGCTTTTATTTCTTTATATATGTGTATGTATATCTATGTATATATGTTTCCCTTAGCATGTACCTTTTTTGATATATGTATATTGTTTGTGTGTACAGGCCAGAGGTCAACATTAGCTGTCTTCCTCAATCACTTCCCACCTTATTTTTTTGAGGCAGGGTCTCTCACCAAATCTGGAGTTCACCAATCCAGCTAGACTAATTGATCAGCAAGTTCCAGAATCCTTCCAGCTCCCAGGAACACCCCCCATCCCCCACCCACCACACCTGACTCTTTACCTAGGTGCTAGGGATCTGAACTCAAGTCTTCATGCTCATACACCAAGTATTCTACCACCCCAGCCATCTCCCCAACCCTGCTTAGCATGTTTCTTAATCTCAATTACTAGACAGTTACATTTTTGATATGTTAATATTGATATATTTCTAAGTGGTTTTCGCCCAAGTTATGTCTAACTTGGTAAAAGAGCATCTAAATGTTTAAAATGCTGTGTCATCTCTTTCTTCCTTAGGATGTCGTACCACAAGCTTTATTAGATCAGTACCTGTCGATGACAGATCCCTCTCGAGCACAGACAGTTGACACTGAAATTGCTAAGCACTGTGCATACAGCCTGCCCGGTGTGGCTCTGACACTCGGCAGGCAGAATTGGCACTGCCTGAGAGAGACTTATGAGACTCTGGCATCAGACATGCAGGTAAGAGGTGAAGAGACAGGTGCAAATGCATGTAGAGGGTGTTGTACGTGGCTTTCAAACTCCAATTGCTATGGGTTCTAGTATGTGGCTGGTATTACAGAAAACTGTGGGTAGCAGAGCTGAAAGGCAATTTTAGAAAGCTGGAATTGTACTATTGCTAGCCTGACTAAGCCCTGGTTCCTGGGTACCCAGAGCATTGTAGTATATACATCCTTTGAAAAAACACTAAGGGTAAACTGTTAACCTGGAGGTTGTGTCTGATATTTGAGTTTTTTATGTGTTTCTCTTCCTGGGCGGTTGTGATTTATCCCCTCCCCTGCCATTAAATCTTACTTATATATGCCCAAAATTTACTCTCCCCTCAAAAACCCAAACAAAAGAAATTCCATTCTTAATAGTGAAATTAATCTTATCTATTAAGAAAGCAAACTGGGCGTGGTGGCACATGCCTTTAATCCCAGCACTCAGGAGGCAGAAGCAGGTTAGAGCTGCATGAGATCAAGGCCAGCTGGACCTACAGGGAGACCCTGTCTCAAAAAGACAGAGAGAGAGAGAGAGAGAAGCAGTCATTTAGCCAGGCATGATGGGGCACATGTCTTTAATCCCAGCACTCAGGAGGCAGAGGTAGGTAGAGCTCTGTGAGATCCAGGCCACCCTGGTCTACATAGCAAGTTCCAGGCCAGCTGAGGTTACAGGTCTTAACAACAAAAGCAGTCACTTAGACTAATTTACACAGTGAATAAATTCATAATAGTTACTGCTTTTCCAAGGCAAGAATGATATTGACTCAGCTAGTTAAAATAGTTCCCCTCTGACATGAGATCAGAAAACTAGGACCCAGGGCAGTGAATTTATGCATTTCTGCTTTCCTAAGTGCTGGCTCTGGGCATAGACTCATAAGGCCCTTGCTATCTGATTCCACAGTCAGCGGTCTTTATTCCATAGAACTCAGGGTGCCCTGAATGCACAGGTCCCATGCCTTTTTCTGTCCCTGTCCTCCACAGGAGGGTGCCTTTATTTTTTTCATGTGGTGAGCTGGAGTGTTTAGGAATGTAGTTGTCTGTCTGTGTGTGTGTGTGTGTGTGTGTGTGTGTGTGTGTGTGTGTGTATGTATGTATGTATTCACACATGCATGTACATGTGCTATACGCACAAAAAAAAAAAAAAACTTCCTGTTCTTATGTTTCTTAAATTCTCAGTTCCACACAAACAAGTTTGGGATTTTATTCAAGTTAGGCATTACAAGAATCTGAAGGGAAGAGTTGAGGGGGCCACAAGATAATTTTTAGTACCTGTGGATGTCAAAAAATCAGGATGTTGTGTTCAAAGAACTATAGAAGGGGCTAGAGAGATGGCTCAGCGGTTAAGAGTACTGACTGCTCTTGCAGAGGACCTGGGTTCAATTCCCAGCACCCACATGGTGGCTGTGAACCGTCCTTAACTCCAGTTCCAGGGGAATCCGAAGCCCTCTTCTGACCTCTGAGGCATTGCACGACATGGGTGCACTCACATACATGCAGGCAGTACACTCATACATATAAAATAAAAATAATAAATAAAATATTTAAAAAACTATAGAATTATTATTAGTGATTGTCAAATATTTTTATTCATAAATGAAACTGTACATTGATTTGAATGTTTAATCACATTTGACACATAACAGAAGTTTTTAACATAGTTCCTGTTCTATTCTGTTGTAATTTTTTAAAACTGTGTATATGTTGGAGTGCAGGCAGATGTGTGCTGCTGGGTATGTGTGGAGGTCAAAGGACAACTCTGGGGATTCCGTTTTCTCCTGCTAATTTGTAGGACTTGGGGGTAGAGCTCAGGTGTCGAGTTTGTGCATAAGCACCTCTACCTGAGCCATCTTGCCAGCCCTGATTTAATTTTTTGAGATTAGTAATATTCAATCTACTAAGCACTTTGTATCTAGATTCCTAACACAATGTTTTATTTCTACAGTGGAAAGTTCGAAGAACTTTGGCATTCTCCATCCATGAGCTTGCAGTTATTCTTGGAGATCAGTTGACAGCTGCAGATCTGGTTCCAATTTTTAATGGATTTTTAAAAGACCTGGATGAAGTCAGGATAGGTGTTCTTAAACACTTGCATGATTTTCTAAAGGTAACTTTATATTCTTTTGCATAAAAATTTGACTCAGCAGTTAAGGGCACTGGCTAGTCTTGCAAAGGACCTGAATTGAGTTCTCAGCTCCCACATGGTAGCTAACGACTATCTGTAACTCCAGTCCTAGGGGATCAGATGCCCTCTTCTGGCCTCTGCAGGCACTGTATAACACAGGTACACTTACATACATTTAGGCAAAATGCTCATATAGATTTAGAAAAAATAATTAAAAAAAAAAACAAACTAAAATTCTACTCCAAAACCTAAATGTGTGTGTGTGTGTGTGAGAGAGAGAGAGAGAGAGAGAGAGAGAGAGAGAGATAGCAAGGTTTCTGTGCTCCTTAGTGGAGAAAGAGCCATAAGGTTTGTTGAGCATGGTATGATCTGCTTTTCCAAATGCATTACACCTCAGGCGTAACATGATATAAACACCTCCCGTTGTGGGTCTCGGTTTTAGAAAGCAGCCATTCCCACAGTGGCTAGTAAGAAACTAAAGAAATGAGTACTGTGAGTGTCTTGTCCCCAGTCCATTGCTCCTACAGTCACAGGAATCTTTAGCTAAGGCAGGTGTTGTGAGTCATAAAATACCAGTTTTCTGTTACCATAGTTCCTTATATTTGCATCGGATAGTATCCCCATGTAAAAGTAGAGTGCCTCTTCTCTCTTCCTGTTTTTGAAAGCTTTGATAATATCCATATAGACTTAGGGATTTATAACATTGTCCATTTCTGTCACTTCTTTGAACATCAGATTTGGGTAATAGGAATCGCTTAATGCTGCCTCCTATTAGCTTTTGAATTGTACCCTCAGTTTTAAGTATGTATTTGTTCTTGGGCCCAGCTGTCTCCATCCTAGTTCTCTAGCACTGTGGACTGGGTCACTTCCCAATAGTAGGTGGTGTTGGATCCATGGACTGAGGACATTGCACTCTTCCTGAGGATCATTTCTGTTAGGCTTTTTCCAAAGACAGAAGTTAAAAGGTTGTTTGACTTTTTAAAATTATTATGATTGTTTTGGGGTGTTTTATTTGTTTTAGTTTTTGTATTGTTTTTTGAGACAGGGTCTCCCTGTGGCCCCAATAGCATGGAACTCACTGTGTAGACTAGGCTAGCCTCGAACTCACAGAAATCCACCTGCCTCTGCCTCCTGAGTGCTGGGATTAAAGGTGTGGCCACCATGCCCAGCCTTATTTAAGTTATTTTTAACTGATACTTATTTATGAAGTGCCATGTGATATTTCAATACATGTAAATCTTGTATTTTGTTTCAATCAGATTAAGTACATCCATCTCCTGAAACATTTTTGCATTCATGACATAAACTACTGCTAATTTGATATTGTTGATACTGTTCCCTGTTCTTTCTTTGAGTCATTTTTTTCTTTTCTTTCATGATTAGACCTTTTTTTTTTTTTTTTTTTTTTTTAAATGTTTTTGGGTTTTGCATGTATGTGAGTGCACCCGTGTTGTGCAGTGCTGTGGAGGTCAGAAGAGGGCTTCAGATTCCCCTGGAACTGGAGTTAAGGACGGTTCATAGCTGCCGTGTGGGTGCTGGGAATCAAACCCAGGTCCTCTGCAATAGCAGTCAGTGCTCTTAACCACTGAGCCAACTCTCTAGCCCCATGATTAGAATTTTTTTTTTTTTTCGGTCTTTTTTTTTGGAGGCAGTGTCTCCCTGTAGCCCCAGCTGTCCTGGAACTCACTGTGTAGACCAGGCTGGCCTTGAACTCACAGAGATCCGAATGCCTCTGCCTCCCAAGTGCTGGGATTAAAGACATGTGCCACCACGCCCGGCCCAACATTTTAAAATGACAAATATATTTAGTCATTTGCTTAATTTCAAAGCATTCATAAAGCATTCTCAATAATAAAACTTCACCATGAAGTCAACTGAGTGATGATCAAGATCAAGCACTCTGTCTTGTAGTAGAAACCCGCCCTTGACAGCATAAGTCAGAGGTCATGTTCAACTTGAGCTTTATCCTGTGTGATTCTTTTTTTTTAATATTTTATTTATTATTTTTATTTTATGTGTATGAGCGTATTGCCTGCATGTATGTGAGTGCACCCGTGTCGTGCAATGCAGTGGAGGTCAGAAGAGGGCTTCGGATTCCCCTGGAACTGGAGTTAAGGACAGTTCGTAGCCGCCATGTGGGTGCGGGAATTGAACCCGGATCCTCTGCAAGAGCAGTCAGTGCTCTTAACCCCTGAGCCATCTCTCTAGCCCCTATCCTGTGTGATTCTGATCTAATTTGTATACAGTTAGGTTTGTTTCCATTCGTATCGAATTTTAGGGTCTTTCCTCTTGTTGATTATAAACCTTCATTTAAATATTAGTCATTTAAATATTAGTGTGTCAGTTACTAGGATACATTGCTGTTTTGTGATTTTTATTCAACAAGTATATATAAGCACCTACTATGTGCCACCCACTGAACCCATGTGTGTGATTAGAAGCATAATCACTGTCCTCAAAGAGTGTGGTAATGAAGATGTGTATGTAGGAGATTAGGTTGAACCTTGGGGTACTGTTACATTACATTACAGATGGTGATTACTTAAAGATAAATATAATTATTCAAAGGAAAGTTAGTGTAATGTCCTTTAAGAATTATTTTATTTATTTTGTGTATGTGTGTATTGTGTGTGGGGGTGCACACATGCTGCAGCATGCTTATGGCGGTTTTGGTTATGGTTTATGGGAGTTGGTTTGCTCCTTCCATCATGTGGGTCCTGGGAATCGAACTCAGGTTTTCAGGCTTGGCAACAAGCACCTTTACCTGCTGAGCCATCTTGCTGGCCCAGTAATACCCATTTTTAAAACAAGTAAAAGGTTGGGGCTAGAGACATGGCTCAGTGGTTAAGAACACTGGTTGGTGTTGCAGAAGACCCAGGTTTGAATCCCAGCACCCACGTGGCAGCTAACAACTGTCCATAACTCCAGTCCCAGGGGATCCAACAACCTCTTTTGCCCTCTGAGGGCATTGCATGACACAGGTGCACTTACCTACTTACAGGCAATACACGCATACACATAAAATAAAAATAATAAATAAAATTTTTTTAAAAAAAGTAAAAGGCTTGGGGAGATGGCTCTTAACACTTGACTGTGAAAACAAGACCTGAATTCAAATTCCTAGTACCTACATAAGAACCAAACATGGCTGCATGGGTCTGTAACCCCAGCACTGGGTGGCAGAGACAGATAGACCCCAGGAACTCAGTGGCCAGCCATCCAGCCTAGCCAAACATCAGACTTCAGGTTCAGTTAAAGACCCTGTCTCCAAAACTAAGGTGGAAAGCAATAGAGGAAGACTCAGGATACCCTCTAGCTTCTGCATGCTTGGGCACCACCTCCATCCCCCCTCCTGCCCCCCATACAGACACATACACACATACACAGCAAATAGAAGTGCCATGTTTCTTCTCCAGGATAATTAACTTTATTACTTATAGTCCATTTTCAAGCTATCTAATCAACGAAATAATGCCTGTGCTTTGTCCTGGTTTTTAAAAAAAAAAAAATGTTTTTGTTACTTTAGCTTCTTCATATTGACAAAAGAAGAGAATATCTTTATCAACTTCAGGAGTTTTTGGTGACAGATAATAGTAGAAATTGGCGCTTTCGAGCTGAACTAGCTGAGTAAGTTCCAACGGTTTATGTGGTAGTGTTGTCATTTCTCTCTCTTCTGCATTTCCTCTCGGCCTTGTGTACCTCAGCTTCCGTCTCCTGTTCCTTTCTCATGCTTTTTTAAAAAAATATTTCACCTATTTTTATTTTTTTTATGTATATGAGTATATTGTCTCCATGTATATAAGTACACACATGTTATGCCCCTTAGGGCCCTGGCTTCCATGGCATGGGATGTTAACAAATGTAGTTGGTATCAGTTCACTGGATGCTGTCTTCACACTGCCACCTTCAGTGAGTGTTACTCAGGGACTCTTACCTTTGCTGAAAGTGGGACTGGGATTGCCAGCTGATTTTTTTTTATTTATTTATTTTTTTTTTTTCCTACTCAGCTCTCAGGCCCTGCACTCATGTACCAGGAAGTCTCCCCTTCTGGCTCTCCCCTTCCGGCTCATTGGTAGGGCCCTGGTGCCTGGGCTTTCTCAAAAGATCCATCCCCTCACATGGGCAGCCAGCCTCTGTCCACACCTATGGTCAGTTTTGGGCAGGTCTCCCTCCCTTCTAGCAGTAGGAGGTATTTGCTTAGTATCAAGAGAAGGCCCATTAATACCATTTTTAAAACAAGTGCAGGGCTGAGGAGATCTTGGCCCTTGTGCTTACTGTTCCAGATCTTTGTGTTCTAATAGTAAGGTTTCCTGCCCCTCCTTTAGAGTACCTGTTCTCCCCTAGCTACAGTGTCTGCCCAAGCTCATGGCCCTCCACCAGCTAGCTAGGCCTTTGCTTTATAAGAGAAAGGGATACAGGCAGCATCTGCTGTTTCACATTACCCCTGATGCCCATCAGTCACCTTTTACCTTCTGGGGGCCCTCTCCATTGTCTTATCCTAACCCAGGCAAGGTACATACCCTCTGGAAGATCAGGAGCCTTTCAGGAAGGGAAATGATCCCTCATGTCAGGCCTACATTGCTGACTAATGTGCCATCAACATCAGCCTGGGCACTGGCTGCAGCTTCAGCTGGTTTTTTTTCTTGCATTTCTTGATAGGTGCCTCTTCTCAAACTCTCTGTGCACTCAGATGAGACAGTTTGTGTCCCTTATCATGTTCCAGAGGGATATGCCCTTATGGAAATTAATACTGTTTGATGTCATGAGAGGACTTCCTAATTCTCTTGCCCCTAGCAAATGCCCTGAGAGGTTGGTGAAGTCCTGACAAGTGCATGATGGGCCACCTCTGCCTGCCACAGCTTTCCTACTGAGACCATTTACGCTTTTGTACGTGGAGTATCATCAGCCCCTTCCAAACCATGTGCCATGTTCCAATAGAACAGACTAGAGGGCTGGAGAGATGGCTCAGTGGTTAACAGCACTGACCACTCTTGCAGTGGACCCAGGTTCAATTCCCAGCACCCACATGGTGGCTCCAAACCATCCTTAATTCCAGTTCCAGGGGAATCCGGAGCCCTCTTCTAACCTCTGTGGCATTGCACAACACAGGTGCAGTCACATACATGCAGGCAGTACACTCATACACATAAAAATAATAAATTTTAAAAAGAACAGACTAGAAAGTGCTTTGCGCTGTCTCCATCCTTGAATGTTTTAGTCTCATCTGTTGATACTGTAACAAAATACCTGGTGCTGAGTGATATGTAGAAGAAACTGTTAATTTGGTTTATGATTCTGGTGGCTGGAAAGTGGAGGTGTTATGTTGCTGCTGCTGCTGTCACACATGGAAGAGATAAAGGATAAGAAACTTACCACCATGTATACAAATGCATGAGAATCCTGTACTACTGAGCTCTATCCCAGCCTTGCCTTTCTCTTGTAAAACAATCTTCTCTCTTAGGAACTAACCCAGTTCCATGACTGACCCATTCCTAAACTCTGTTAATTCCACTTAAGAGTATGGGGCCCCTGAGATCTAATCACCTTCCTCTAGGCCCCACCTCTTAAGGGTTCATCTACTTCTCGGTTCAGTCATACTGGGCACAAGTTTTTCAGTACATGACCCTTTGGGGATAAACCACATCCAGAAACACAGCACAGTGAGCAGTCCAACAGCTGCTGCTTTTTGTTCCTCGGGGAAGAAGCAAGCCTTGAACTTGCTGGCCTTGAGATGCATTTCTGACTATTCAGAGCCTAAAAGTAGCCCTGTGCAAGGAGAGGTCTGCTTCATCACTAGTTTTTGTGTATCTTAATCTTAAGTATTCATATGATTACTTTTGTCTTGTTTGTTTTTAACCCTTGGTTGAATTTTATTTTTGTCATTCATCTTTGTAGACAGCTGATTTTACTTCTAGAATTATATAGTCCCAGAGATGTTTATGATTATTTACGTCCCATTGCTCTGAACCTGTGTGCAGACAAAGTTTCCTCTGTTCGTTGGATTTCCTACAAGTTGGTATGTTTAAGCTTTTTAAATATTCAGTCAGCATTGTGTAAGGTCACAGAACAGAAGCTGTGCCTCACTTTATGCCTCCCTCTAGGTCAGCGAAATGGTGAAGAAGCTTCACACAGCAACACCCCCGACCTTTGGAGTAGACCTCATCAATGAGCTAGTGGAGAACTTTGGCAGGTGTCCCAAGTGGTCTGGTCGGCAAGCCTTTGTCTTCGTCTGCCAGGTGAGAAAGGCCTGGCACCACCTACTCAAGAAGCTCCTTCCAGTCCCTGCCTCTCCCAGACCCTCTTCTTTATCCTGAGGAACAAAAGATACTATTGGGCTGTCCTTAGGATCATTTTGCTCCTGTAGTTAAGCATCTGTCTGGCTCATCCTTTCAGTCAACTGAGTACATCTTAAAGCTAGTACCACCCCATGTGTTATACACCCACACATACATTTGCCACAATGTGCACACTCCATACACACTACCCATCAGACAACCAGAGCACAGGCTGGAAAGGAAGGTATGGCTGGCCGCCTTGTATTTCTGAAGAACAATTTAAAATGGCATCTAAAGCCAAGATTAGTGGTATGCAACTGTAACCTCTGCACATGTGAGGTAGATGCGGGAGAATCACAAGTTCAGGACCAGCCCCAAATACATAGCAAGTTCTAGGCCAGCCCCAGCTACATGAAACCATGTCTCAAAAC